TTTTTTCTTGCTGATTTTCCTAAGTTCTATATAGATTCTAGTTACCAGCCCTTTATAGAATGTGTAACATGCAAATATTTTCTCTCATTCTGTAGGATGTCTGTTTGCTCTCGTGATGGTTTCCTTGGCTGTGCAGAAGCTTTTAAATTTGATCAGGTTCCATTTATTATTTTTGTTGTTGCTGTGATAGCCTTTGGGGTCTTCTTCATAAATTCTTTGTCTAGGCCAATGTTTATAAGAGAATGGCCTTTATCAAAAAGACCCAAAACAATAATTGTTGGCATGGATGCAGAAAGACAGGAACACTCATACGCTGCTGGTGGGACTGCAAACTAGTGCAACCTCTGTGGAAAGCAACATGGAGATACCTCAAAGAGCTACAAGTAGATCTACCATTTGACCCAGCAATCCTATTACTGGGCATTTATCCAAAAGAACAAAAGACATTCTATAAAAAAAGACATCTGCACTAGAATGTTTACAGCAGCACAATTCACAATTACAAAGATGTGGAAACAACCCAAGTGACCATCAATATATGAGTAGATTAATAAAATGTTGCATATGTATACCATGGGGTTCTACTGAGCCACCAAAAACAATGGTGATATAGCACCTCTTGTATTCTCCTGGATAGAGCTGGAGCCCATTCTACTAAGTGAAGTATCACAAGAATGGAAAAACTAGCACCACATGTACTTGCCATCAAATTGGTATTAACTGATCAACACTTAAGTGCACATATAGTAATAACATTCATCGGGTATTGGGCAGATGGGAGTGGGGAGGAGGGGATTGGTATATACACACCTAATGGGTGTGGTGCGCACCGTCTGGGGGATGGTCACGCTAGAAGCTCTGACTCCAGTGGGACAAAGGCAATATATGATTCTCTGCAAAGGGGCTCCAGTACTTCATTTTACCATTTATTTACCTAACATTTACTTCTTATTTTAACAGAGAAACTAGATGAGAGACTAAAAATAATCATTTCTTAAATAAGAACACATACTCGATTTTTAACTTAACTTTAAGAACACAAAATGACATACATAAATAATTTCATTAAGCTTCTTGTGTCTGAGGCCTGTGCTAATTATAATTAGTACACTGCAACACACTCACTATATAACTGAATCTTATCATAAATTATTGAATGACCAAACTGCTTTTAGAAGGTATTTTGATATTCAAACACACATATACCCCCATCTCTCGCCCTCCCTCTGAAAATATGGATAGATAAGAAGCTAAAATAATTGAAATCACAA